GGGGCTCAGGTGAGTGTGGGGGCAGCCTAGTGAGGCAGAGCTGGGAAAGCCTCCCGGTGGAGGCCACACCATTTGCCATGTTCTAGAGCTGGGTAGGGGGAAGGTTCAGAGGGCTCAGCTGTGGGTCTCCTCAGGGAGCATGGTAACTGGGCCAGTGTGGGCAAGAGTGTTGGGTGCTCAGCTCTGGCCCATTTGCTTCTTTCTGCCTGTTTTCTGGGGGCTCCTTGTGCCTGGTGTGTGGGTCCCATTCTGTGCTGATCTGTTGTGGGGTCTAGTCCAGTGCTGATGGTCCCTTCAGAACAGGAGTCTAGGCCCCACAGCATTGGGGAGGGAGCTTGGAGCTCCTCTGCCCAACATAGCCCAGGCTGTTGACTTCACTACCCCCTGCTCCTCCCATCAGGCCTCACCTGTTTGTTTGAGGCTCCTTCCTGTATGTTCTGTGTGTCCAGCCTGGCTGCAAAGAATGTAGCTTCCATGGTGGGGGGGACAGAGTCTGAGGTCCAGCATCTGGTGAGATCTCAGGGCCTGGCCTCTGCCAGTCTTCTCCATCTCTCAAGTGGACGGGAGACTCTTTCTGCTGAATAGGAGTCAGAGCCAGAGGGAAGCCTGAGGTGGCTTTGTGGCCCCAGGCATGTGTGTTTGCCCATTTGTCCGTGTGCCTGGTGCCCACCCATCCCTCACTCTGGGATCCACAGGGCCTTCCCTGTGCTGGGGGCACACCAACACCATCTGTCTGGGCCCAGGCTCTCCAGCATGGCCTGTGGTCCGGCCCTCAGAGCTCTCCTGTTGACCCTTGCCGTAATCTCAGGTGAAGTGTTTTCCTTGGTGTCTTTTCAGGTATTAAAACTGGGTGTCCCCTAGGGACGCCTTTCTTCACTCTATGAGGCAGACACAAGCTATTTCTGGAATATTTTGGTTCTGTCCTAAGATCATTAGCGGAGCTCCCAGGGTGCCATGCTGCGGCCTGTGCACTTCTTCCAGTTGTAGGGGAGGTGACGGGTGATTCCTCACCCCTGGGGCCCATCATACCTGCTTGGGTTCTGGCTGTTTAAACAGCTGCACATCGAGCTGTGTCGCCAGCACATGTGGAATCTTGATAACCAGTGTATGTGAGGCTGATGGGAATGTGCGGTTCCCAGTGCCCCAGACCTGGTTCCTAGAGGGCTTCATTTTCTTTTTTGAGTATCTAAAATAATTTAAGAATATATTTTCTAATAACGGTGGGGATTGGTGTCAACCTCACCAGCTGTTAGTTCGGAGAATTCTTGATTCTTTCTCTTCTGGAAATAATTCTTGCCTGGCCCCAGCACGATCACCTTACCTCCAACAGTATTTGCTTTGCTAACTTCATGTGCACTCTGCTTTTGGTCTCTGGGATTGAGTTCTTCCGGAGCTAGAGATGCAGCTTCTAAACCCACAGCTCGGGTGAGCACATGCTCACTTTTTACTTCACTCATGTCTTTATGTCTGAGGTTTCTGGAAAATGTGGTTGTTAAGTCTGACCCCTAACTTATTGAATCTATGATCTGGAGCACTCAGATCTCTCAGAAATTCAGTGTCTTTTTGGGTAAAATGAGGGCGGTATCAGTATCTTCTTTGTGTGGTTGTGAGGAATGAGAGGAGAAGGCTCATCAGAAGCTCTTTTCACTGAAAATCACCAAGGACCGAACGCAGGGTGGTGATGGTGGTTTCAGCTTCCAAAGGGGAATTATTTGCTTCATTACAAAAACAAAGAAGATGATCCCTCTAACGAGCCCTTCCTGGTGTGCACCTGGGCCCAGGTACCAGTGGCGCTGGGAGCTACACCCAGGACCGGTAAGCTAGTCTGTAGATGGAGCATGCTCTGGTGAGTTGTAACATTTGCTGAACTCCTGTGTTACTCAGGGCCCAGGCTGGACGCTCAGGGCAGGCAGGGGATGGTACTGGCTCTTTCCTCCTGAGAGCTCACGGGCTCTCTGGGGAGAGAAGGCGCACCGTGTGTGTTCAGTGCTTCCCCTGAGCCAGGCAGGGCAGCACTTGTCATGTGTAGACACTGACAGTAGGTACAGACAGTAGACACTGAAGCAGCCACCATTTTAGGGTTGTTTTATCAGATAAGGAAACTGAGTCACAGAGAGGTTAAGTCAGGACAGAGGTGGTACGCGATGTGGGTCTGGTCCGGGTTGGGTGCCGGCCAGCTCTGACTTCTTTCTCCGTGGCAGTTGCCGAGTGGGTTGCAGAGGCAGAGCCAGGAGGTGCTGGTGGGAGGTGTTGGGGCTGACAACAGGCACTTGGAGAGCGAAAGCCCGGGCGTGACCAGACACATGGCCCTCTAGGGTGGCATGGGCCCTGAGGGCTTGGGGATTCAGAGCCTGAGTGACGAGTGGGGCGAGGTCACTGTGGCAGCCATGTGGGCACGGGAGCTGCCCCCAACTCCTGCTGCAGCCCACATCCGGCCCTGAGTGGACCACAGCTGCCAGTTCTCAGACACATGCGTTTAACACAATTTCCAAGTCATGTTGATAATCAAAAACACCACTTTAAAAAGTACTAAACAGCTTTAATAAAAACAAGCAAACAAAGCTTTTCTTTATGATGGATTTGAAAAGAATGCTGCCTGAGGCCTCCTGGTGCCTTTCTCCCTTCTAGGGCCTCGTTCACACATCAGCTTCCCACCCCTCCCACCCCCCATCTTCCTTACCCTCCTCTCAAGGGGCCCGTGGAAGCCCCTTCAGCACCATCAGCACCTCCCACCCAGGGTGGGGCTGCTTTTCCAGGAATGGAGGTTCTTTGGCCTGCTCATCTGCGTGGAGCCATATTTTTAGGTCCCTAGCCTGGGACTGTGAGTTCTGTTTTCAGGCAGTGTCCCCTGTTCATTCATTTGTAGCTTATTCACACCTTCCATGGGCACCTGCTGCACACCAGGGTCTGTCCTAGGGCTGAGGTCCATCAGAGGCAGCTTAGCTTTTGGTGCAGCAGCTACAGACAGATGAGTAGTGCCAGGTGTTGAGGAGAAAAGGGACAGGGCCAAGGGCAACAAATTCAGGAAGACTTGAAACTCCAAACAGTGCTGTCCCTGTCCTGGTCCTCTCCCGAATGGTCAGTCAGGCTTTTCCTGGAGTGGGGTCCGAAGGGTGACCTGGACCACCCTTGGAGGACAGAGCGGCCAGGCGGGAGTGGGACTCAGATGGGATGCATGTTACTCGGCTTCTGGCCCCCGGCCTCAGGTCTGGAAGAAGGGACATCAGGCGGGCAGGGCCCAGTGGCTCCGTTAACATCAGGACGACTCAGCATGGGGTGCACGAGGGTGGAGCAGGTTCAGGGTCCAGGTGGTTGAGATGGTGCCTCACTTGGCTGTGCAGAGAAGCTGGATGAGATCCTGGCAGCCGCCACGGAGCCCACGCTGAGGCCAGACATCGCGGACGCTGACTCCAGAGCTGCCACTGTCAAACAGCGGCCCACGAGTCGGAGGATCACACCTGCTGAGATCAGTGTAAGCCACCCCAGCAGCTGGGGGGGGGGGGGGGCATGGGGAGGGGAGGAGGCAGGGAGGGGCGCGGGGGTCAGAGCTCCATGTCCCCTACTGTGCGTTTGTGCATTTTTCTGGGGTGGGAGTCCGTCATTTGGACCCTCCTCTCCAGGGGTGAGGGTGAAGGACCCCATGGCTTCTCACACACGTGGGGAAATCTTGTCCTCCCAGGATGGCCACAGTTTAACAAATGCTGAGTGCTCACTCTTGGCCCTGGGTCCCAGTGCCTCCTGCATAGCCACACCCAGGACCACCTAGAGCACCCCAGCCCTGTTGAGGGTACAATGCAGTGTCTCTGCACCCCGCCCCCCGACTCCTCTCACTTGGCATCTTCTGGGCTACTCCCCCAGCCTTGTCCATGTCAACCCTACCCAATACTCTATGCCCACGCCCCCACTGGCTATGCCCCTGCTCTCTGGAGTCTCTGTGCCTGGGTCTGAGTCTTGGGTCAGGCCCCACTGGTGCCAGCACCATTGTGATTAGTGTGTGGGGTGTTTGATCTCAGGCTTAGAAGGATGGCTGGGGCTGGATGGAGAACTGGGACCCCCAGTGCCCTAGAGCCTCCTTCTAACCCCCCAACTCCAACAGTCTTTATTTGAGCGCCAGGGCCTTCCGGGCCCAGAGAAGCTGCCCGGCTCCCTGCGGAAGGGGATTCCACGGACCAAGTCTGTAGGTACGGCTGGGCTGGGGGTTGCGTGGGGCTGGGGTGGATGTGGGGCTGGAGGACCCTGTCTCTCCCAACCCTCCAGTTGGGGTTTTAAGGTTTCCTCTGAGAACCCCATCTCCCTGGTCATAGCCCAGGAATCTCATTTGTTTGTGGACATATGTGGGATCCGTCCTTTCCCCAAATCCAGACAAACTGTCAAAAGAGACCCTTGAGGCTTCCTCACTCCATCCACCACTTCCTGTCCATTGTGTCCCCATCCCTGCTCTGGTCCACTATTGCCCCCCCATCCGCTCCTCCCCGTCCAGTCTGCGCCCCCGACATTCCTCCCCGTCCAGTCTGTGCCCCTCCATCCGCTCCTCCCCGTCCAGTCTGTGCCCCCCACACTCTTCCCTGTCCAGTCTGCGTCCCCCCACACTCCTCCCCATCCAGTCTGCGCCCCCCACCAGGTATTGCTCTGTATCTCTCTTTTCCTTCACAGCCAGTCTTCTCCAGAAGTCACTTGCAGTTGCTGTCTCTGTCCTCATCTGCTCCTCAGCTTGGGGCAGCATAGCTCTCTCCACACCTAAAACTGACTTTGCTGCCACCAGGGTCACCAGTGGTTTGCAGGGCATTCCTTCCAGCAGACACATGACCAGCCCTTCTCTTGTTGACCTCAACTGGCATTTGATTTTTCTGCTCACCTCCCCAGAGCTTTAGGACATTTCCTGGTTCTTTCCTCTGTTCTCAGGCTGTACCTGTTCAGGACAAGATGTAAACCTAAAAAACACCTCCACACCAAATGTGGGTCCTCTCAAGGCTGTGTCCTTAGCCTCTGTGCCTTCTGTACCTGTCTCTTTGGGGCCTCATCATGCCTCACACTCGCTGTCACGCCTCTCATGTAGCCATCTCTCTCGACCCCAGACTGGGGCATCTCACAAGCTCCGCTCACTGCCCTTCCTTCTAGACATGTAGTCCCCTCTCACCTGCCCACTTCTCCATCCATTCCTTCACAGACCTGCCCACTTGTCCATCCATCGGTCTGCATACACTGCAGCTCCCCCATCATCTGTTCATCATCAGAGTAAACACCACAGTGTTTATGCACACTGGTTCATTTCATACTTACAGTAACCCTGTTGAGGTAATACTATTAGTACCTCTGTATTACAGGTAAGGAAACTAAGGTAAAGAGGTAAAGTGACTTGCCCAAGGTCTTACCTTGTCTTCTGGTAAGACATCATGCCAGCCATCTGCCCAGACCTGCCCAAAGGGGGCTTTCTGCAGAGCAGATACCACCCCATATCCCTCCAGTTCACCCGTGGTGGGCTCTTCATTGCCTTGGGGCCTTGGGGACCAGTCTCAGCTTTCTCCTACTTCATCTGGGGGCATTTGTCTCCATTTCCTTCTTACCTGGGTGTACCAACACTCGCTATTCTGCACCTGGCCTCAGTCTGCCTGGATGGCCTGTCGCTCAGCCCAGCCCAGTCCCAGGACTGACCACCACAGGTCCAGATCTCAGTGCCTTCCCTGCAGGATGTGAGCCTCTTGGTGGGTATTCCTCCTGGACCCTCCTGTGCTCATTCTGTGAGTGAGTGAGAGGGGTTCATCTTCAGGCTCCTTGCCCTGGCCTGCTGCCCATCACCAATGTGAGTGTTGGTCAAGGTGTCAGATTCCCAGAGTCCCCCACCCACCCATGTCCTGGGCACATGATTCAGTCCTGGAAACCTCAGCGTCCTGGTCCATAAACTTGAGTCCCATCTAGTACTTGCCTCCAAGTCTACGATGTGGCTCACCCAGTGGGCTGTATGTACTCAGAGGCTGAGTATAGGCATCAACCACTGATACTGTTCCTAGATGCAGGTCCTGAATCTTGAGGCTGGAACACAGTGTTTGAGAAATGTTTGCTACTCTTCATTGGGCAGAGGTCCCCACCCCACCTTGGGTGGTATCAGAACAGATTCCCCACTTCATCCCAGGCAAGTGACTTATCTTCACCCTAAGTTAGAATTTGGCATGCCAAATCTCCTGCGTCTTCTAGGAGCACAAGCTTTTCCCCATGTAGTTTGTCTCATAAGATAAGTTGTGCAGGGGGGGAGGAGGCCCCAAAAGAACCTGGCACAAATCTTGTGTCCAGCCATGGGGGTGGAAGGCAGACCTAAAAATGATGATGATGATGATGATGATGATGATGATGATGATGATGATCTCGGCCTCCTTCCTGGGATGCTTCTAGGTGCTCAGCCCCATGCTGTAGGCTTTAAATGCCTCCAGCTGTGGCAGCCCCACAACAGGGGCCAGCATTTCGCTTGAGATTAGGAAACTGACCTGCTAAGAGATTAAGTAATGTCAGACAGTAACTTCCAATGCTAGAATTCAAGCCACACGAAAGCCCACCTTTGCTGCGCCCGGGGTGAAGAGCTGTCATGCAGGACAAGATGTAGATCGTGCAGTGTGGGAGGCCTGGGGAGACCACCTTGGCTAAAGGAGGAGGTGGCTGGGAACAGGCAATCTGCATTGTAGTGAGTTCGCAAAAATGCGAGCAAGTACAGAGTGAAGCCAAGTGTAGATTCCCAAGGCACTCCACCAGAGACCTGTGCATATCAACATGGAGGAAACATTCATCCACTGTCCTCCGGTTGGGCCGTCGAACACTTGCAGCCTAACTGAACATGCGTACGGTACAAGTGTCCATATTGTGCCCACAAGGACACTTGGGAGGTCTTGCCAGGCTCTAGCCAGGCAGCAGGACAATGAGGGCCCTGAGCATCCCAGTCCTGCTCTTGCACAGACCCTAACTCGGGCAGCAGAGCGGGTTTCATTTTAAGCCTGTGTTGCCCATGAGAGAATTGAGATTCAGGGGGGCCCAGGGCCCGGCCTGGGGCCACACAGCCCATAGGGAGTACAACTGACACATGGGTCAGGTGCTTAGTCTGCAATTCCACTTTAGCTCTTCCTCCTTCCCTTCCACCCTCCCTCACTGAAGTTCAGCCATTGAGGTTATAGCAGTGACCGGGCAGTGTGTCCGGTCCCGTTCACTTGGGTCTCTGGGATGGAGCCTCTCAGGGCTTGTCTTTTCACAAACACCTTTTCACCTGGGCGCCAGCCTTCTTTCTGCCAGATGCATGGCTCAGCTGGCCACAGTCCTGCTGCCCCTCTGACTACAGTCCGTGCATCACTCCTACTCTGGGAGAGTGTCCCCCTAATTTCTGACCATCTCTCTTCTTCCCGTCTCTGGTTGCCACCAGGGAACTCCCAGTGACACCTGCTTGTTCCATTGCTGCAATGTGGCCTTGCTCAGTCTTGGATGGAAGCCATGCACCAGCCGCCCCTACCTCTTCTGTGCAGTTGTCTTCACCACTCCGCGTGGGGGGATGTGTAGGGGCTGCCCCGATTCTCCCTGGGTGTCTTCTTTGGGCCCTCTCAGTGTGATGGGGCTTGGGCAGGTCTTGGCCCGAACCCAAGACTTTGGGTCCTTTCACAGTCTGTTGGTGGGGCCCTCCTCTGCCTTATATCTGAAAGAATACCTCTCCCCAAGTCTTTCTAAAAGCCCCCTCCCCCCAACTCAACACTGGGCTTGGGGTGCAGAGCTGGCATCCAGGGAGGAGCCCAGACTAGGGGCCTCGCTCAGATCTCCTGCTCTGGGCTGCCCTGTCCCCTTTTCTCTCAGACCCCAGCCTCCGTGCCCTTCTTGACCCCGTCCTCCCCGGCTGGGTATCGCTTCCCGCCAATTTCTAAGGGGGTGGCTTCGCAGTCCTTGCATCTGGGGCCATGGCTGCCCTCAGGTGGAGTCATGGCAGGGCTGGCCCCTGCACAGGGCCGGCGCCGGGGTCTCACCAGGGCCCTTCTGTCCGCAGGGGAGGATGAAAAGCTGGCGTCCCTGCTGGAAGGGCGCTTTCCGCGCAGCACGTCCATGCAAGATACGGTGCGTGAGGGCCGTGGCATCCCGCCCCCGCCG